TATGAAGAGCCCGTCTCAGCGGCGTGGAGAAGTGCGGGCAGCAGGTGAACGCCAGGCTGTAGTGCCTGGAGGAGCAGCTCATGACTCAGCAGAGGACGATCGGGCAGCAGCGGGCGACCATTGACAGCTAGCAGTACGCTGCCGCGCGTGCCCATCAGCAGGTGCAGACTGTGATGACGGAGACTCAGGAAACGTACAGATGACACGGGGCGCTACTCAAGAAGGCCGATGAGCTGCTGGCCCATCGGAGACAGCCGATGGGAAAGACGGGAACGCTGCTGGACACGAGGTTTTTTCGGCAGACCGCGTAGGCTGGCAGGAGACATGGATGAACACGGCAAGCCAAACCATGAATCATCATGGACAGGACTGTCGTTAGTGCTGACGGCCTACTGTATCGCCGTGGATAGTGGTTCACCTGAATCCACGAAAGGTGCGCAGCTCATTAGCGATGGTAGCGAGTAGGACGAGGACGCGCAGCAGGCGAGCAACTCACTGTGTCACATGTTGGCCTTGCTATGCAAGGATACGACGTTCGAGATCTTACAATCGGTGCCAGAAGACGCTGTGTTCCAAGCCTGGAGCCGAATGACCAAGAGTTTGAGCCGAAGGTGATGAGCAGCTTCCAGGGCATGCTAGACGGCATGCTAGACCAGATCTTGTTTCGGACTGCGACCGACAGCGACCTGATCAGGAATACCGTGGCAGGTACCCAGATGTGGGAAGCCGACGAGTGATACGTTTTCGCCAACTATCTTGAAGAGTGGCCTGACCACGTGGCTGGTCGGGGCGACGGCCAGGGATCGTTTGTTTCTCAACACGAGCAGGCTGAATACCTGCCGATGAGAAAAGGCCCATGTCGGCAATTTCTTACCTGTTGCAGGCTGCGCACATGCAGGGCGGCCCGTGCTAACGGACCCGCTGGCCTGAGCGTCGGCAGGGACGAGGTGGAGCTCTGCATTGCTGCGGCACATTATACACAGCGGAGGTCTTGTTGTAACTCTAGCTGCTTTTTGTGCAGCATTCTGGCTCCCAGTAGACACCCATGGAACTACCGATGTGCTAGTTCCCACGTTCATGTGTTACAGGCGTAGCTTTTTATCAGTCGAGTCTGCTCGGGTACCTGTAGCGCCTGCGTAAATTTACATGACGTGTGCACGTAACAAACTCAGACTGGAACATCAGGCCGCGAGGGGGTGTTTGCACATAGTCCTTCACGTGAACGGGCACTCCGCCGTATTTGGCTCAAGTTGCTAAGTCCTTCAAGCGACGGCAGCCAGTGAGCATAAAATTATCATCGTTCGCTTGCTGAGCAAAATGGCGAAGACTACTCATTCCAATCTTTTCACACGTTTGCATGGGGAGGTATAGGTGGAGGAGGAGGAGGTGGAGGAGGAGGGGCAGGAGGAGGGGAGGAGGAGGAGGGGGCGGGGAGGAGGAGGAGGAGGAGGAGGAGGAGGAGGAGGAGGGGAGGAGGATGAGGAGGGAGGAGGAGGAGGAGGAGGAGGAGGAGGAGGAGGAGAAGGAGGAGGAGGAGGTGGGCTGCCTCCCCAGGAGGCGTCCGAATTCGAGCGCCTGGGCTTCCGGAGCCGCATCGCGCTCAGGATCGGCCGGGTTTCCCTCGGAGGTCTCGGTCCGCCGGTTGGCGAGACTCCTCCCGCCGCCGCCGCCGTCGTTGGCGGCGTCGTCGTAGATTTTCCCCCCTCCTCCGCTCCCTCGCCTTCTCTCCTCCTCTCCTCTTTCGCCCCCTTCTGCCTCCTCCCCCTCCTCCTCTCCCGTCGGCCCCTTTTGTCCCTCGTCTCCCCTCTTCCCTCTCGTTCTCCCTCCATCCCCCGTCCACCTTGCGTTTTCGTCCTTCCTCCTTTCTTCACCTCCTCCTGCCTCCTCCTTTTATGCCTGCAATGCGTGCGTGGATCCAGTGGCGCTGGAAGCGCCGCCGCCTAAACCTGCCTTGCTTCTGTCTTTGCTATTGTCGCAATTCGTCGACGATTCTTTAATCCTCCAAGCTGACGATGTGGGCCTGTCCCGCGCGAGCGTTGGCCTGTCCGCTTTTGCACTTATTGTCGGCATCCTTTCCAAGGCGGCCGCAAAGGCCCGACAGCTATGGCCGTCGGCGAGGCCACTGCTGACCCAGCTCGCTGTGGCACGGCGGATGGCTTCTCAGTCCGCGTCGTGTCGCAGCTGGAGGTCTTGGGCGTTCTTATCGATGACGCCCCCTCCCCGGACCCGCTCTTGGCGCGCGTTGGCGCGAAGCTGCGCGACGGCGCGCGTCGATTGGCCGCCGCGCTGACCGACCGAGGCCTCGTGCTGCCGCTCCTGCCCGGCCAGCTGCCCGCCCGCGGTGGAGTCCGCCACCCTCTACGGCTGCGAACATCTTGCCAGCCACGCTCGGGGCTGGAGCCATGTGAGCGCACAGTTCAACCGAGCAGACTACGACGTGGCGAAGATCGTATTGGGGCAGTCGCTTTCTGCATCCTTCGGATCGTCCGGGCAGTTGCGCGTGTTTTTGGAGACCAAGACGCTCACCCTGGCCTCGGCGAAGGTGGCGCAGCGCATCGTTTTGGCATGGGCCCGCTTGCTGCTTCTGCCGCAGGCTTCCCCGCTCGCGCCGGCGGTCCAGGCGGCGCTCGTCAGGGAGGACGGCTGCTGGCTGTATGATGCGGCGGAGGTTGCCCGCCTCTTCGGGGAAGAGGCGCCCCTGACATCCCTAGGGGACCACATGCGAACCCTACCCCTGCCCCCCACGATTTCTGAGGGGCAGGGCGGGGTTCACTTCGCTCGGGAATTCCCGAACGAAATGAACCCCACCCTCCCCCTCAGAAATCGTGGGGGGCAGGGGTAGGGTTCGCGTGTGGCCCCCTATCCCTGGCGCAGGTGGCAGCGGCGGGCCCACGCGCACGTCGCCTGGCGGTCCGCTCATGGGCCGGCCGCTGCGCCATGCCCCGCGCGCGGGAGGCCGAGCGCTCGTGGTTCTGCGAGCAGCTGGCGCGACTCGGCGGCGATGGCTTGGTGTCGATCGCTGGCGTCCTCCCTCTCCGCACTTGCCGGTCTGATGACCTGTGCTGGGCCCCGTCAGGCAGGACTCTGTGGAGGTTCCTCAGGGCGTGGTGCAAGGCACGCATCACTTCGGAGATCCCTGTGGGCGTTTGGGGGGTCCCTGCCGAGCGTGTGCCCCAGGTTTGCTCCTTGTGTCGTGCGCATACCTCGTGCCTCCACCACCTTCTGGCCGAGTGCCCCTGCGCAGCGGCGTGGCGAGCGGCTGCCTTGCTGGCATGGGCGCCGCAAGTGGACCTCGTGACCTAGGCCTTCACGGACGTGGATTGCGTCGAGCAGCTGGCTGCCGAGGTGCGCCTCGCGGGATTGGCATGCGCAGCCTTCGTGCACGATTGCTCCGCCGAAAATGCCTGCCCGCATGCGTACCCTGCTTCCTCTTCGTCCGCTTCGTCCCCCTCATCCTCCTCCTTCTCCCCCTCCTCCTCCCCCTCCTCCTCCTCCTCCTCCTCCTCCTCCTCCTCCTCCTCCTCCTCCTCCTCCTCCTCCTCCTCCTCCTCCTCCTCCTCCTCCTCCTCCTCCCTGTTCCGCTCTTTCGTCTGGTGCTCCAGGGAGAGGCTTCCGCGCACGCGGGTGCGGCCGCTCCGCTGACGGAGGCCCGGGTAGCGGCGACCCCCTTGGCCCGTTGCCGACCTCGGCCGTCTCTCGGCCTGTTGCTGCGGACGACGCCAGTGGTGCCGCTTTCGGAGGGCGTGGGGCCCCTCGGAAGGGTGGCAGATGCAGGTTCTATCCTTCCTTTTCCTCCCTCCGCCACCTCCTCCTTTCCGCCTGCCGCGTCCTCGTGCTGCGGGCACGCACAACTTCTGTTAGGTGCCCTACTTTTCCCGAGGCCGCACTGCGTGCCCTTCGAGGTGGCCCAGCGCGAGCTGCTGGGCGAGATGCATTGCTCCGGATTTGCGGGCAAGGGCGACTTCTGCCACCGACCCTGCCCTCCCTTCCTGAGGCTGCACGCGTGCCTTTCGAGGTGACCCAGCCCGAGCGGCTAAAGGGGATGCACCGCTTCGGTCTCGCTTACAAGTGCGCATCTGTTTCGTGCCCTGAAGCGGGGCCCACTCCTCAGATGTCGTCGTGGTCGCCGTCTTTTTCGTCGGCGTCTTCGTGGTCATCGTGGTGGTGGTAGTGGTGGCCGTCGTCGTCGTCGTCGCCGTCGCCGTCGCCGCCGTCGCCGTCGCCGTCGCCGTCGCCGCTGCCCCCGCCGCCGCCGCCGCCGCCGCCGTCGCCGCCGCCTCCGTCGTCGTCGTCGTCTTCGTCGTCGTCGTCGTCGTCGTCATCGTCGTCGTCGTTGTCGTCGTCGTCGTCGTTGTCGTCGTTTTCGTTTCCAGACCTCCGACATCGGCTTTCGTCATATCGTCGGTCGTCGTCGTCGTCGTCGTTGTCTTCGTCGTTTTCGTTTCCAGACCTCCGACGTCGGCTTTCGTCATATCGTCGCCCCCCAGAATTCTCGATGCCTCTGCCCAGGACTTGCATTCGTTCCGAGCCGGTCTTTGACGGCCACCATGGCAGGCGAGTGGACCCGCAGAGGTCGAAAACGGCCAACAGCCTGCCGTTTCCCCGCGACGCGAGGAGGCCTAGGTTTCAGGTCTGCCTTCGAGTCTCCGGCGGCCGTTGTGGACGATTCGGGCGCCCCCCATAACGACCTCGTTGAGTCGCAGCTGCTGGAGACCGCCTTGAGGCTGGAAAGCGTCCGGCAACCGTCGACAACGCCCGAAACCCTGGAAGCTCGAACCTCGATGTCGTCGTCGTCGTCGTCGTCGTCGTCGTCGTCGTCGTCGTCGTTGTCGTTGTCGTCGTCGTCGTCGTCGTCGTCGTCGTCGTCGTCCCCGTCGTCGCTGCCCCGATCGCCCAGGAGGAGGCTCGCGGAGCACCAGCCCTCCGTGCCCTCCTGGAGGAGGGGGCTCCGGCCCGCGGCCGATCGGGGCCTCGTCGACGTGCCCCCGAAGACCGACGAGGAGCGTCGTCGCCGCCGCCGCCGCCGCCGCCGCCGCCGCCGCCGCCGCCGCCGTCGTCGTCGTCGTCGTCGTCGTCGTCGTCGTCGTCGTCGTCGTCGTCGTCGTCGTCGTCGTCGTCGTCGTCGTCGTCGTAGCTTGGAGCTTTTCAGACGTCTTCGTGAGTTCCCGTAGGCTTCCCAGGCCCCCGGGGTGGTATCCAGCAGCCGCGCCTCGACCAGGGCGTTCTGGGGGGTGCCCGCATCGCCCCTGACGGCCGCCCGCACACCAGAGTTATGGGCCGAAAACCAGACCAGGGCTGGACCTAAACGCTGTTTTGCTGGACTTCGGCTGTGTTTTGTTTTCGTTTTGGCAGGGAAGGTACAGGAAAACAGGTGGAGAAAAACGAAAAACAGAACGAAAACAAAACGAAAAACAACGTTCAGTTCCAGCTGAACCAGACCTCCTCGCGTCGTTGGAAGATTAGCACCGGGAGTTTTTTGGAAGCTTTCAGCCCCTGGGGGGCCTTTCGCAGGGCCTCAGGGCCTTCAGAGAACGGCTCGGGATGAAGCGCGGGTCCTGGGGAAAGGGGTCGAGTCCTTCGAGGGTCCTGGTTGTGGAACTATCGCGACGTCTGCTGGAGGGGGAGGACGAGCAGGAGGAGGACGGGGGGAGGAGGAGGAGCCTTCTCTGCCCTCCTTGGGGCGTGATGGGCAGCAGGAGGGGGCTGGGAGGGGGCGGGGGAGGACAGCTTGGGAGATGAAGACCCGCCTCTTGCTGCTCGGTGCTTGCTTCTAGCGCCGGGTCATTCCTACTCGGCGGCGCACAGTGGCACATCCGACGAGCCAACGGGGCAGGGCTGCCAACGCACGGCAGCGTCACAACATGCCACATCAGTCCAGCCCGGGCTGCCTTCGTTCCGTGGCATTCTCGGATCAATTTCCTGCCCCCCAACATCTCCCAGACCAAACCGAGGAAACCGTGCGCCTAGCACAGGGAATAGGGAGGCTTCTAGGAAAAGAAGGCACACAGGAGGAGGTGAGAAGAGGGAAACTTACTATAGTTCAACACTCTCGAACTTCAGCTGCGGCTGACAGGACCACACTCACAGAGTAGGCTATGCAGCGATGTCGAAACTATCCGCCGTAGTGACCGCAGACTCGAGGATTCTGACCAGCCCCATCTTGTGGTTCGGGTGCTGCAGGTCGGCGAATCGCTGTAAAAAGGATCTGTCGTGGTCGGGGAGTTCTTATCTCTCCTCTCAACGTAGGGCTGACCTAGCCCAGGTATTAACTGGCCAACCGTAAAGCTGCCACATGGCCTGCAGCTGACAGTTGCCCCTTTGGAATACGACGTGACTTATCGTTCCTGAGGAGGAGGGGGAGGAGGAGGAGGAGGAGGTGGAGGAGGAGGGAGGGAGGGAGGGAGGGAGGGAGGGAGGGAGGGAGGGAAGGAAGAGGAGGAGGACGAGGAGGAGGAGGAGGAGGAGGAGGAGGAGGAGGAGGAAGAGAATTGTGGCCCCTGGGCTGATCAGAATTCGTTTAGGCCTGGCATTGTCCGCAGGGACAGGGCCCAGCAGGTGGCCTCCGGTTGTCGAGGGCGCCACAGGGTGCGGAGGCGTTCGCACGGGTGCGGCACCAGCGCACTCGGCATTGCCAAACCGCCTTATGCCACAACCAGGGGCGGAGAAAAGATGAGGAGGAGAAGGAGGAGGAGGAGGAAGAGGAGGAGGAGGAGGAGGAGGAGGAGGAGGAGGAGGCGGAGAAAGCCATCCGACCGAGGAGGGGCGGGCCCGTCGTCGCCTCGTCGGTCGCCCCGTCGGTCGTGGCTCGCGCGCGGGCCATCAACAAAAAACAAAGAAAGACGGCAGCCGCGACCAGCGGCCAGGACTGTAAAGACGCCTACAGGGCGGGAGGAGTCCTGGCATCGACGACTACGAGCCCTTCGAGGACCAAACAGCCTTTTGATACGAGTTGTTGCAGCTGTGCGCCGCCTCAGTAGCCATCACAGCGCACAGCAGCCGCAGCAGCAACAAAAGGGCGAGATGCCGCAGAAGTGAAGCTGGCAGCGCCGCGGGAGCTCGGGGGCAACGAGGGCAGGAGCAGGGACTGCACACCTCGAGCCCCGCACGAGCGGAGCTGGGAAAGGGTGGACAGGGGCAGGGTCCACACGCCCGAGCTCCGCGCGGGACTCGGAGGAAAGCTGGTCACGAGCATGGACCACGCACCCAACGCCCGCGGTCGGTGCTCAACAGGGACCTGTCGGAGGGCGTCCGGGGAACTGGGAGAAGGAGCACCAGCACAGCTGGAAGGACAGGGCCCCTTGGAAGAGCAGCTCGGCCAGGGAGCAGGAAGAGGAACCAGCAGGAGACCCGAAGTTCAGAGCACGTCGGCAATGTCCAGTACACCCAACAGCAGAAAAAGCGTGCTGAACGGCATCGCCCCAGTGCCGTTTGCGACTGCGATGGGGCACGAGAGCTGGAGCACGTCCCCCACCGATGAGGAAATCATGGTCGTATGGTATAAGACGAAGTGCCAGCGGCTGGCGCGACTGGCAGAGAAAATAGTTGGGGCCAGAAGCGCGGGGCTTGGTACCGAACAGTTAGAGCAAGGAGCAGCCATCACAGCAACGAGCGTCTCTTTTGTCCTCCCGCCGAAGGAGAGGATGACGCAGCTGAGAAACGCCTGGAAAGACTTGGGGAGGAGCACGCGTGCCTGGGGAAGCAGCTCAACCATATGCGGGAAGCCAGAACATCGCATTCCATCAAGGTCTAAAACACACGGATGAAGGACACGAGTGGCCAGATGGCCAAAAACGCTGGAATCAAGGCGGAGACGTCGGACGAGGACGCCAGCGCAGTGCCCAGGAGAGGGCCAGAGCCATGCCCTACGGCCAGATCGATGCAATCTCCCACGGGCAGGGCTGCCGCGCCCACCCGCCAGTGCGAGAAGCCGAAGGAGAACGAGGAGGACGTCAGGGAAGCTCTCAGAAAGATCAACGAGCGGCTCGCCCAGCAGCAACAAGGGTCGCAGCGCGCGCAACAAGAACAGGCCGCCAAATGGGGCAGAAAGGAGCATGCCATGGATGAGTCTTCCAAGAAGCATGAGCAGGACACAGAAAAGGCGAGGCACCAGCTCAGGAGCGCCGAGAAGACGTACACAGAGCAGCTAAGTATCCAGGAAAGGGCCCAGCAGTGGGAGCTGGACATGCTCGCGAAGAGGTTCAACGCCAAGGTGGAAGAAGTAGAGGCCGAGGCGCGCGAAGCTGAAGTCGACAGCAAAAGAGCCCAGGACGAATGAGCGATGGCCATGATTGGACGACGTGAGAATCACCTGGAGCAGGGGAAGCTGAAGCTGCAGCAGGAGCTGCGCCAGGAGAACATGCAGAGGGCTGCCATCTTCGCGCAGCAGATGGAGAGAGCGAGTCACGAGGAGATTCAGATCAGACACATGGCAGCCCAGTAAGCACAGAGGCACGAACTAGGGCGAGCAGAACCAGAGCAAGCCAGACAACTGAGGATCCACGCCGAGCAGGGGCATTCCAGGGCAAATCACAGTGCGCACCGAAAAGGGCAACGCCGGATTGCTGCCGCGAGTGAAAGGAGGTTAAGAATTTACCAACAGGAGAACTACGCGAAGGACCAGGCCATGAAAGCACTGCAGCTGGGGCGCGCTGAAATGGCCAGGGTTGCGCAGGCATGGCAAGTGGAGCAGGAAATGTACCTGGGGCAGTGCGGCGGGGAGCAAGCGCAGACCCAATGCCTGAGGCAGCAGAACGAGCTGCTGCAAAGAGGGCATGAAGAGGCTGCAGCACAGGCTGGACGCGAGGAGCTGCGCGCCAGGGAGAAGCAGGATGCATCGTATCTCGAGCTGCAGGCCATCAAACAGCGGTGCCACCGCGAGACGCAGAACATCCAGAAGCAACGCGGCTTCCTGCAGCGCTAGTGCGCCACGCAGCACCAACGGCAGATCCAGGCCATCGAGCGGCAGCATGGGCGACGCACGGCAGAACTCCAAGAGGCCCTGATGCATGTTTGGAGCACAGGAGAGCATATCGACATAGACATCCTGGGCGAGATGGCCATCAACATCCAGGGCGACATGAAGATCTACAACAGGGGCCAGACTATGGCGCAGCAGGAGGAACGGCATCAGCTCGAGCAACTCGAGGGGCACCTCTCGAATCTGCCACCACGGCATGAACAACAGACTCCGCAGCCTGGTACCGCAGCTTACTTGCACGAGCTCGCGGCTCTCGAGTTTGGGTAATCGTCGCATGCCTCATCGGGGCCGTCGTGAGATACTCAGTCCGACACTCGACAGCGACTTCAGCATGCAGGAGCTGGTCTGCGCACCAATCCAGGCAGTGGGTGGGCCACCGCGTGCTCCAGGCCCACCGCAGCCAGCGCCGCTGGAGGACCTCCTCACGTTCGACGAAGTCCCGAATGGGGGGGGCCTGCAGGCGATGCTGAGCATATCCCACTCGAGAAGTCAGACGACGCCGACTTGCGAGAGGAATAGAGCAATGAGGACGACGCATCACCAGCCACCCCACAGCGAATCCCCATCGATGACGTAGCATCCACGTACCGCATGTTCCATGGTCACCGCCACCACGGATCCATATGGGCACGCCCGACAGGGCTACATCGGCACCGCCGGCAAGCGGAGGGCTGAGGAGGCCTGGCGGGGCCAGGAAGTCGAGGGGTCAACCCAGAAAGGTGCGCATCTGCGACATGGGGGATGGTTACGCAGACCCCGCTGACAGAGTGGCGGCTTTCCTGGGGAGCGGCGACAGCGACCTCGACGCGGTCGCCTATCAAAAAACTGATCAAGCACCCGCTGCCTGAGGGGCAACTGGCTCAGGCATGCGATGCATCGCGCGCGCAGGGCGACAGAGGGCGTCGCTGGCCGAGCCACCGAGATTCGTGCAGTGAGGAGGCTGCGCCAGACGTCCACGCGCCACAGGCCACGACGGGGTAGAAACAGCGACGCGCTACCGACGGGGCCATGCAATCTAGCGCA